ATGAAGACAAGAATACCAGGAATAGTATAGAATAACAGAATGATTAGAAGATTATTGTTTAGATTCTTCAGTAAACAGAACAAAGCATTCTCTGGCATTCCTTAGAGACCCAGATGCAATATTTCCACATGAAATCACGCTTCTCAGTGATGCTGTAACTGGATGAAGACATACTAGGAAGTGAACAAAATTTCAAAAACCAATATCTTAAATTCTGTATAAAAAAAGCCAAATGTAAAATAAAGAGTAATGGCCATGAAAACATATCAATTAATTTGAAAACCAAGAATCACCACGCCAAAAAAATTGCGACAAGCGAAAACTCCAACATATCAGCAGGTTTAATTAACTAAATAACAAGTACACAACTTCAGTGTTGGCTGGCAACCTCGGTGAAGATTCATGAAATTAAGGAGAATACTGTTAGTTAGAACAACACTTTCCATGAAGACACAAAAAAAAAAGCAATTGGAATCAAGAATATTCTGCCTCTTCACTGGTCATGATTAATTAGTTGTTGGGAATGTAGTCCATCATAAAGAACTTGCTCTTTTAAACAGACTGCCAATGTATAAGTTAAAGTCATTTCCATGAATAAATTTTGTGATTTCACTTTTGAAATAACTATCAGCAGTCAACATCTAGTTTAAAATTTAGTAACTGTCAAAAAAAGTTTATTTCCTTTATGCATCACACTCTGATACATAACTAGTATGACCTTATATAGAGTTATAAATAAACTTCTTTCAAGTTGTTATTGCAAATCGATTTAATTGGATTCACACATGATAATCATCAGTACTTAAAATAGAACACTTCAGTATTTTTCCATCCAATTTCTTTTGTGAGCTAAATGTTAAGGTCTTCCAATGTCTCGGCAAAAACATCTTGTCCAGAGTTTTCCATTAGACTTCTGGGATAGGGAAAACATTATAAAACTGTTAAAAAAGAACAGCAAAGTCTGATCACTTTATACTTTCAAAACATGAAAGGGAAATCCTACCAGCAAGCATGTCAAGAGACCCACTGTTCAAAGCACACTAAAAGCAGGCAGTGGACACAAGAAGAATTGCATGACATGGCACCACCTGCTGACACGCACATTTCTTTTTTTTCTCTCGTTTATTTTAATCTCTAATATTTCCTAATGATATTACAGCCTGCCTATTTCTGTCTTTTCCATCTGCAACTGGCATGGATTCAAACTTGTTAGAAGTTGTGGAAAGAGATAGCAAGTCAACATGCAACAGATATTTCCATAATCCTGGCCTTTTCATTGCTAGTAACATATTATCGCTCTGTAGTATTCGCAAAGCCTAGCATTATCAATTTGTCTCCTCACACACTTGTCTGTCTAAACGAAAGCAGGGAACTCTCTAGGGAGAACCTAGGATACAGTGTTTTCTGCTGGTGTGATCCTCATTTAAATGACCAAGACAAACTACCAAACAAGTGTCTGTACTATTTAACAGACATTTTGCCCCCTCATCTTTTTCTCTCTACCAATGCAGGCAGCAAATTTGGTGTTGCTTTCCGATTCTATTTAATTTAATGGGCGATGATTGCTTTCTGACGGAGGAAGCAATTTATTGAACAGAATCAATATCAACAGTCACACTTTGCTGTCCCTACAGCGTTGGTCCCCTCCCATGGACAATATTGGTCCATCACATGAAAACGCAAATGTGGTATATTTTCAGCATGATATTGCAAGCTTGCCAAGACAGATATTCCCAGTCTTGTTACTTAAAACATTTAAATTGCACTGTTGTCCACCTTTTCACTGTCAGATACTGAAGTGGAAGGATTGATTAACAAGATCTGATAAGAAAGATCATTCATCAGTATATGTTACTGTATGTTACAGCTGAGCTTTTGTCCCAAAGTCATTAAATATTCGCGTCATGAAGTCCTACTAAATGTACAGGAGGAAGATTTACCTTCTTATTAAAGCTTCACAGAAAATATAAAATCATCCATCTAGGGAATTAACCAATGTCAGCATGTAAACCATTTCTAAAGTAGTTGCCAATATGTCATAAACATTTTTGAAAAAGGATATTATATGACTTATGCTGTGTGGTAATAAAAACCAGTGGGAAACGAAAATGACTGAGTACCAGTTGAAAACTATATCTTCAATCCGACAGACAGTTTGCCAATAAGTAGATTACCAATTTTTTCTCCGATTTTAAAAGACTTGAGTGGCTGTGCCCGCCAAGAGAGTAATTTGAATGTTTGCTTTATCACATGTCAATAACAGGCTTTAGAAGCAATGTTTACTTTATGCACTGAACAACAGCAGATACACTAACACATATCAAACTCATTCCAATTTACACATTTAAATGTCAAATATTAACATAAGATTAAGGGGATAAATGTTTTGAATATGAACTCTTGACTAATGCCAGTACGTTCTGTACAGATAAATTATGTTTGTCAGACAGTTTGAGCATTCTGCCCGCACAAAACCCCTCGTTTAGGCTGTCATTGATCTGACATCATCCGGGCAAGCTCATCTCACAACAGGAACAATAGAACATCTTTGTCTTTATATGGAATTATATATCTCACTAACAAGATTTGGGATAATTAATTTTCTATCTTGAGAACTGTATCTGTAATATTGTTAAGTTTGCATATTTATAACTTATTCGCAGTCTCTGTGTAAAATAGCATGATTCATCCATGCACCTCAAATCTGGAGAGGTGACACTAAGATATGATGGCATATTTATTGTGAAATTTTCAGGTTGAGTCACCAAAGTTCACCTATTTTGATAGATGTGCATGTATTCAAGGACAATTACCCCCAAAACAGTTTTTCTTAAAGGCCAAGATTTCTTCTTTGAATTCTGACATTGATAATAATGGCTCTTTTATTGTCACTGGAAAAGTGTGTGAATAACTCTTCATGGCTGATTTGAACTGATGAATTTATTGAATCTTTATTTCCACAAATTTTATTGATAACATTCTGTTTGCTGTTGGGTATAAATCCCATCAACAGATCAACAATAATCTGCTACAGACATCCAACCATATTTCTAGATAAATGCCATCGTGGTTAACATCACAACAGTGTCAGCAATCTGGCTATATTTCTAGATAGAATGTTCTTGCGGTTAACATCACGATACTGTTCCCCCCCCCACCCCAGTGTCCCTTGTCAGTCACATTCTGTATACCTATTGTGTCCATTTCTCTTGTGAAAAATGAGGAGTAAAAGTTCAAGTTTTGATAAAGGACCAAATCCTACCACATTGAGATCCATGTATCTTAATACTGGCTTATGTTATATATGTTGCTGAGCAGATTGGGGTTCACGGTCAAAAAGACAGGTCAGAGGTCAACAAGATGGGAACCTGTCACCAACTCCCACTCATTTCCATAATACATTAGCTTAACATCCTTCATGAGCACTCAGCCAAACAGAAAACAATTTGTTGTCTCCATGGGTGTGACAGAAAGAATGACTTAATGTCAAAATCTGCATATTTCACTACTGTTACTTGTTCTCAATATTACTTTATTCATAATTTGAAGGACTATTTAATTGAAAATGTGTTTACTCTCTGGAAGAAACTCATTTTGATGCTAACCTTTCCATAAAAAAAGCACGTTAAAAAGGGAAAAAGAATTTAAACTGTAAATGAAACAGCTTTATCCTGCCTGGAAATGGGTTCGCAATAAAATCAAACTAGCATCAAATTACAGTAAAAGGTGCTGATCAGTCACATGAAATGTTCATTGCCCAAAAGACCCCAGGAAACGTATTGTATTGATAACTGGATCACCAGGGATAAGCTCGAGTCTTGTCAGACAGTATCCAGCGAGGAGTCTTGTATAACATTCTCATGTGAAATATTAGTTTAGGAGAAGCAATATTTTATGTAAATGACAAGGTCCTGAGGTAAATATACTGCTATACCAAAAATAAAATCCCCTCACTTCTCTATAGATGGATATCAGATATATATTGTACATATGTGTTTTACCTTTAAACCTGGGCATTCATAAAAGGTTAATCGCCGACAAACCTAGAAAGATTTCCTAATCCATTACCAAAGTAGCAAATCTGAACACTTGTGATACTTAAAGGCGTCATTTGGATTCTCCTAGTAAAAAATCTCTGATTAATCACTCTTGTTTACAAAGGTTCACAACCCTACAAACTAACATTACCAAACAAGTTACTGAAATGACCTTTTTAACTTGTTAATCATGGTCGTGGGATATCATTAACCTGAGGTGTATAACCCTCTTCATTAAGTTGCTTAAACATCCCGCAAGACAATAACGTCTAGACTTATACTTAAGGGGTTTCTTAATGCATTTTTATACTGACAAATCATGCAAATATCTTGCCAAGGAAATCCTAAACAGTGATATAAAGCTTTGCTGTCAGATTAAATGATTCCACCAGACTATCACTAGATATCACAAACATTGCACAACCGGGCAATTTCTGTTCAAAACTGTTCCTTAGTAAAACAATGAAAAAATAACAGAAAAACCAAATTCCTGACCTAGTCTTCCAATGTATTGTCATGTGTGTTATCTATTCACATAAAAAAAGGGTAAATGCTTGCAATAACATTTGGCCATGGGGTCCTTAATCCAATTGCTGGTGACAGATGGAATACACATGGAATGTAACTGCGGTCAATGCCATTGGTACAGAGTGATTTTATTAGTACTGTATCTATCCAGTAATAAGTCCACCTATATCAAATCAGTACAATAACAAATGTTATCCATTGTCCTGCATTAATACAAACATTCCCTGACTCTGAATAGAAGTTCCCTGGTCTTACTGCAGAGTAAACACGGTAATACCAGGTATGTGCTTTTATATCATTGCCTTGGAAAAAGCACACGCAAGATTTCTTGTTGATTGACGATCACTTTGATTTTCAAACAATGTTGCTAAAAAGTTGCAATTTTTACTGAAGCGCGAAATTAACCGATTTTTGTTAGAATGAAGCTTCACTCACCTTCCCTGAGCATGCCCACTCGTAAACATTTCTGGAAGCGACATGCTTGGCATGCCTTCCTTCTTCTCTTTGTAATCTCACAGTCTCCATTTGCTGGGCAAGAATACTCTATGTTACCTGGAAAAGATAAACAAATTTAACATTAGGTAGACGATACATATTACACAAGATATCTTGGAAACAATTCACCATGCTGACAGCATTTTATCTATGACGTAAATGTATCAGCACTTCCTACACAACTAACAATTTTCCAATTGCCTTTTACATTGACTAAGAGCTATACAAAAGGAATGTGTTTATGTTTTCATATAAATCTCAGTTTAATCAAATGAAATTTGTATCTCCATTGCATGCAAACACAATGAAATAAGGAAAAATCAATGCCTATTAAGTTGACTTCACAGCCATTCCCCATGCTTACAAAATCCTTTGTGTTGCTCTGGCAACAGATAAAAGGTTCTGCTGAATATGGTCTATATGACAACAGAACAGTATGTTTTGAGTGATGAATATTGATATTATATTTTATGAACGACCAATATACATCAGGCAACAATTATCTGCTTTTTACTATGTAACTTTATTCCCTCATTGGGCTTTTACAATTTGAAAATAAAAACAATATGGACAAATGATACTGGGTTCTTATATTTACAAATGTAAAACATTGTTTCATTTAGTTTTGAGGTTGATCCACTACAAGAGGGCTAATCCTTAGCTTCCCACTCATGAATACAATATAATGTAGTTAGTTGTCTGATGGTACTAGATCAATAGGGGTTTCAATACTGATACTGTCTGCATCACTATGGCCATATTTAGAGTATGGTCTATAAACAATACAAAGAGGCTCTGTTCTGTCGTAAAACCAAAAATATCCAATCATAAAATCTCTAAAGCCTCATCCCTCTACTCCGACAGAAAATTGTACCGCTTATTTGACCCTAGAGCTAAAGGAAAACAAACATGTCTATGAAAGTGTTATGGTAGATATATATATGTTAAACTTGTTTGTATGGAGAAATCTAGATAGGTCAGCTTCACAATCAAACATCAAAGCTGTTGTAATGATTCCATTTATATGCAACTAGATAGCTTAAAAAAGATAACACTTTATGTTCATATCCCTGACTGATCATCGACTGTACATTATTGGTATTTAATATGAAGACATGGCACAGCCAATACCTACCATACAAATCACTATAACTATGGGAGAGGACGGAGAAAGAGAGACAGGGTATTGCTTGTCGCAATAAAAAAGCCACCGCCTAGACCAGTTTTATTATTGTCAGACTCCAAACTGTCAAATGACAATAGCCTGGAGTAGGATATGTAAGTATGTCTTTACCCACACAGCCTGAAACTACTGACATTGTGCAAAGTTGCAAATTTTAATCTGTAAATGAAATAAATTTAGCCACGAGAAGATTTAAGGCAAAATTTCAGCACTTGGAAGATGTTACCCAAAAATAGTCATAACATTGGAAGATATGTTTACCTAAGTCTTCATTTCAACAGTTTCATACATTAGATATGTAAATGTCACAAGGTTCAGATACTAAAAGGTTCAGTAATAAAGTCAGACACATTCTTGCTTTATATTTCCTCCCGTCAATACTTTTGAAGAAAACGTTGACCATAAAACAATAAAAGAAAAGAATTTGCGATATAAATCCAATCTTTACTGTGTACACCAAACGAGATAATATATTAAGTAATGCAGTGTTTCTAGTCAAACAAGGCAAACTGAAGTGGAGCTTCAAGTGGCTAATAAGTAAACTCAACAAGGTATACTCTACACAGTGACACCTTGATGGAAGTCTTATAATGTTATACACATACAGGAACACTTCAAAGTTCAAGGCCAATTAAGACATACCCCTCAATCATTATCAACTCAGAGCAGACATAATTTGATGGCTAACTACTTGTTTGCATCATATTTTGAACCAGACTGTTTCAATTTCATGCAAATTTTAAAACTGAAGAATGATATGAAAATGCTAATGATGAGCCTTATGCACTCATTGCACAGAGGCGGCCGGTACACATAAGGCATATCATATATCATAGGTGCATTACTGCAATTAAATTTCCTGCTCAGATCATTATAGGATCAGTCAAAAGTATCACAAACAATGCTTAAATCAAACAAATTCCTTTGAAGTTCTTTGTTTAACCAATGTTCTCACTAACTTTTCACAAAGTTGATATGTTTCTAATGTAAATGGCGGTATGTTTGTCAGGCCACAGAGTGATAAACAGTCAATAAAACAGTGAATTCAAAATCCATGAAATGCTGTTGACCAACTGTTCAAGCAGTCCCAGTAGAGAACATTTGATAAGTTTTATGATATGAAACTACAGACCTGTCATTTTATGTATATGGTATAAAAGATCGAACAGTATATAAAACCTAACCTTCTGTATATTGTCATAAGCATTTGTGAAATACTTGTACCTGACTGTCAGCTAGGTTGGCAATGGTCATAATTAAATGTTGACCTTGACCAGTGATTATTTCAATAGAAAAAGTTAAATGCAGACCTTAATCAACATTTCTTCAATAACTACAGTTATATGTTGACTTTGATTTGTCCTCACTCCAACAGCAAGTTAAATGCTGACCTTGACCTGTCTTCACTCCAATAATGAGTTAAATGCTGACCTTGACCTGTCTTCACTCCAATAATGAGTTAAATGCTGACCTTAACGTTTCTTCACCCCAAAGAGGAAGTGTTAAATGCAAACTTAAGACTTGCAAAAATAATGACTTCAGACTTGCCAACACTAATGACTAGAGACAAACGAGATTATGCTTCCCTGTTGACATAATTAAAAGATTACAGGATGTGAGTCACTACTTACTTTTTAACTCAAGAAACATCCTTTTACTTGTATTCTTTTCCAACTAAATCAAAGTACTTTAAAATCAAATTCATTATCTAGTACATCAGAACATGCAAATGATTTTAAAAATCTATAAAGATGTCTGAAAATAGACCTGATTAAAAAAAAAAAAAGACGTAAACAATTTAACCACTTGAAAACATTTCAGAAATTTTATTTCTTTATAATCCTTAATATTCCACAAAAAACCTAGAGTTGTAGAGTACCTTCAACCCATAAAAGTGTCAGCTGCATTTACTCTTCCACGCTGCCTTAAATCATAAATCAGTCAGCAAACCTTGCCTTGCTAATTGAACTTGTGTGTGAAGTTTCAGCTCCTTTAGTTGTGCTATGTATCCACAATTGGCTTTATTTACAAACATCTATCCTTCAACATAGCAACTGAATTGGAGCCAAATCTAGCTAACATTTGGAGAAAGAGACAACAAAAGAAACAGGTATTGCCTCAATTGTGCATAAAGGTTCAGTTTGGTGACAAAGAAACACCAAAAAGTAATCAAGGGAAATAACTCATGCTACCCAAGTATCATTTCCAGGTGTCACTAGGTGTGAATCTGACTTCCTTGAGTGAGGGTTCATTAAAACTCTGTCAGATATTAAATATACTATGTATAATCGATGATATATCAATATATTCTAATTAAAGACGCAAAAGGCGTTCATTCATAAATAAATATTAATTTTTTCATGTGTTGTTTCTATAGGATAAATTCTACATGGCGTAGATTTGTATAAATATCTATTATACAGATAAGAGTACATCCTTGTTGTATTTATCAATTTAACAATAATTACAAGTTGTTTGTTTCATCTGGAATTCCTCACCCCTGTTATTTATGATCGTGTCACTTCTTTTACCAAAGTTGCTGAGGTTATTCAAATTTTGAAACACATGTCTAGAAATTTACATACTTTGCTTACATATACATACCACATTTTATTCTGTACACATGCAAAAAAAATTTGAACATTTTTGTATAACACAACATAAACACATTTCTAGCAAGGTTCACTTTACTTCAGAAAGACCTTGACCTATCTTCCTTAAGTGCAGTATCAGGTTTCTTTATAGGACACATGTAAGACACTGCACTTCGTGCAAGAAATTTGACAAATGACAAGACTCAATTAAGAATGCTTAGGTAATTAATGGTCAGCAAATTTGGCAAAATTATTATCATCATTTCAGTACACTCCAAACCCAAAACAAAACATAACCTTAATTAACCCTTGTGCAAAACCTTCTGATAATGGCACCTACAAATCTAGCATTGTAACAAGAGGCGTGTATAGAGGTAAAAGTTCCTTGCCCGGTACAGACACTCAATGACACCCCAATTTACCCTACTCAATGAGGTATTCCTGTAACCCTCTGACAAAAAATATATAGCTGATAATTAGAGGTAAATGCTTGGCCATCTGTTATTTTTTCCTCCTACAAACAAGATTTAGATCAGCTTGTTTGGCTAAATGCCAATTATAACACCTTTCTGGTATCTGCAATAACCAAGGGTCTGATTTGATGAAATTCACAGACTTTCAGGAAAATTTGACCCTAAATTACCATATGGGATCTACATCATTAGGTAATAGGTTATAATAAGTAGTGAAGGAGTATTTTAAATGTGCACCATGTTAAATGCAAGTGTAGTCGTAACATGATAAAACTGCAAATTTCCAGAACATGGTCAGAATTCTTGAGCATTGTTACGAGTTTGCCAATCTTTGTTATTGTCCTTTTATAAAAAAGCAATTTCTGTTGGCATGAGTAAATCAATTTCATTAGTGTTTATTGCAGCACAATTATGCAAAACCAATTGTTTGCATACTTGTACGCCTTTTATGTATTCAATCATCCATAATTTTATTAATTTGAATTCTTTCCTCCCAACTAGAAACATTGTTAGCCTGCCAACAAACCCAGCAGTACATTGTGGTACCTTCAAGGGAACTCAGCATATCACCCTCAAAGAAAACAGGAAGAAATTCACTCTAGTTACACAGAGGCATCATCAACAGTTAGTAACACATGATGATACCTACTCCCTACAGGTAAAATAGATGTCTCAGGGTTAGTATAACCTAATACACTGACTGCTGATGTAACACTACATCAACTTGCAACAATGTCTAGAGTATTGTGATGGCCTATTTCCGTGTGGAGGAAATGCATCACAACCTCACCACTGCTCTGACATGAC